CCTTGCAGTAGCCAAGTTACTATTTTGCTGTTTTTGGTCAAGCAATTTGTGGTCCTGGCATTACCAGGAAACTGAAAAACAGGGAAATATTCTCTGGTTCTCTCTAGTGGTCAATTCTGATATTGCCCTTTGAAAATAGAAAAGATGAAACAACGTACAGTAATCCTTCACTTGCTATTTAGGATTGATGAAATAATGACATTACTATAATTAAATAATCTCAAAATGCTCCTTAAAATGTATTTAAAAATTGAACTTAACCATAAAATGTTACTTATTATGTCAAAAGCTAACCTTTTAACTACTCAATATATTACTCTTCAAATGTATTACTTATACTCCATCATACCACAATAACTAGTTGTAGGTAACTATACAGTGGGGTCTTGACTTAAGAACGGCTTGAGTTAAGAACATTTTGACTTAAGAACCACTCTCATAGGAAAATATTGACTTGACTTACATACTTAGATTTGAGTTAAGAACTGAAAAAAACCACGTGGGAGGCAGGGAAAGTGCAAAATTTGTACTTTCAGTTAACTGTTGGCTCAAATGTATTACTTATACTCCATCATACCGCAATAACTAGTTGTAGGTAACTATACAAATCTTCCAAGTTCTGGAGAAGACTTGTATTATAAGAAAGTCATACAGGGAATTTAGAGGTGGTCTAAAGCACTCCAAAGAGGTACTTATTCTGTGGCCAGACACTGCTATTAGGTGCACAACATGGTACATTATTGATTCTTGTCATGTACCATTACACTTTTAGTTTCTGGGATAAGCAAGGGTCATGTGGTCCAGTCATGGATGAAGTGAGGCCAAGCTAGTTTTACACACAAACATAACCCTGACCGATTTTACAGTTTGTTGCTATACTGCAGTGGTTCTTAACCTTGGGTTACTCAGGTGTTTTTGAACTGCAGCTGCCAGAAACCCCAGCCAGCACAGCTGGTGGTGAAGGCTTCTGGGAGTTGCAGTCCAAAAACACCTGAGTAACCCAAGGTTAAGAACCACTGCTGTACTGCTGCATAGCAGAACCAATGGGGAGCTATTCAGTCTGTCTGAAGAAGTGGACTTGTTCATAAAAGCTCAAATTAAAATATAGCAGTTAGTCTTTAAGATGCCACAGTGTTTTTGTCTTCTTTATTTGATTTTATTTGTTTCTACCTTGGGTTACTCAGGTGTTTTTGAACTGCAGCTGCCAGAAACCCCAGCCAGCACAGCTGGTGGTGAAGGCTTCTGGGAGTTGCAGTCCAAAAACACCTGAGTAACCCAAGGTTAAGAACCACTGCTGTACTGCTGCATAGCAGAACCAATGGGGAGCTATTCAGTCTGTCTGAAGAAGTGGACTTGTTCATAAAAGCTCAAATTAAAATATAGCAGTTAGTCTTTAAGGTGCCACAGTGTTTTTGTCTTCTTTATTTTTTTTTATTTGTTTCTTTTTTGCCTGACATGCTAGCAGAGACTAAAAGAGGTACCTCATTTAAAACTGTGTGGCTGTTTCTCTATCTAAGGGGCAGCAGAGTGAATGGCTGTACAGTGGTGCCTCACTTAGCGATGTTAATCCATTCCAGAAAAACATTGCTAAGTGATTTAATCGCTAAGTGATTTAAAAAAAGCCCATAGGAACGTATTAAAATTTAATACGTTCCTATGGGCTAAAATCTTACCTTAAAGCGAAATTCCTCCATAGCAGTGGCCATTTTGGGTGCCTCTACAGCGAGGCAAAACAGTGGTGGCCATTTTGTTTTTGCAGTGGCCATTTTGGAACCGCCGATCAGCTGTTTTAAAAAGTTCACTTTGCCATGATCGCTCCCCCACAATCATCGCAAAGCGAATTTTAGCTATAGAGGACATCGCTAAGCGATTGCTCCAGCGATGGCCAAAAGTCCATCGCAAAGCGATTTCATCGCTCAACGAAGCGATCGCTAAGCGAGGCACCACTGTATTCAGTTCACTGGTTCCATTACTGCCTAGGTAGGAACTGGCAGAGGACAGGCATTCAAGAAAAACTTAGATAATCACCTGGCAGATATGCTGTGATTGCATTCCTGCATTGAGCAGGGGGTTGTACTTGCTGGCCTTGTAGGCCCCTTCCAACTTCACTTTTCTATGATTTCTATGGCTTACATTAGAAGAGGAACAAGTAGATGACTCTCTGATGTTATGGGTGATATTATTTGGACCTGTTAGGGTGCTGGAATTTGATGCATTGCAGCCTTTGGTGCTTGCAACAGTGCTACGCCTTGAGCATAGATTTAGAAGAATCTGAATCGACCCAACAAAAGGTTTGATTGTTGGATGGAAAAAACCCAGACACTTTGTTGGAGGGATTTGGAATTTGATTATTCCCTGCCCAACCGCCCCTGCCCGCTTTGGAAAAGGAAAAAAATTGTCAATCTGGATTATTCTCGGTTAAAGGGAACATTGTACTAATAGCATCTGCTTCTGCTCTTTCCTTTCATATAGTGTGGAGCTACGTACATCTCCACACATCTTCGGCATGCAGATAACAGAGGACAGAGGAAAAAGGTGGCTAACAAAGAAACAACAGGAAGGAGGGGTAGTCCCCAGGACTCTGAGAAGATACGTTTTGAGGGAAAGCTAGACCTGAGTGTTCCCTTCCCTTCTCCTGTTCCTGATAAAAGCCTTTTATTGTAGTTTTCCCTTTTGGGGGGGGGGAGGAGCACCTGGTGTGATTTGGGAGACAAGAGCCTGTTCCCTCAGAAAAGTAAAGTACCAGTGGTCTTCATTTGTAGGCTATATGCCAGGCACCCCTCCCAGGGTATGCAGCCAATGGCAAGAAAGCCAAAGTCACAGCAATGTATGACCATAATACATTCTGCAAAATGGGCTCCTTTGAGGATTGGGTCCAGGAGAGGAGATTAACACATGTGTGCCATTAGATCAAATGTCAGGTCCTGTGTTCATAGTTGCATCAGCAGGTCCTTGTAGAGGCCTATTCAGATTTACATTTCATCAAAAAAAAGAAGAAGCAGTGCGACATTTAGATGTGAAGGTGCATTTTCATGCACATTTGATTTATATGTTTTGATTTTATTATAGATTTGGGAAGTGATATGCATGCAAAAATCTGCTATTTGCACATAGGGCCTCATTAACAGCATTTGGGTGAGGAAACTTATACTTATGGAACAATTTGTCATTTGTAACTGTAGCTGGATAGTGGCCGGGGGGAGGGGGACTGACATTTTTCTTTCGCAAAATAAAACATGTGAAAGAAAAACAATCAATGAAACTATTACATTGGAATGCAAAATGCCTGTTTATTTTGCAGGAAGGACCCCTGTATATCAAAAAGCAGGAATATACCATATTTTTCCATATATATGACACCCCCATGTATAAGACACCCCCCAATTTTTAACCCAAAATTAAGAAATCTAAGTGGGGCTTAGCAAGTGGAGGGGAAAACAAGGATCAAAGCCCTGCAGGATCACTTTGATCCCTGCTTTTCCCTCCACTTGTTTTTTCTCTATCCTCAGCTTACTTCCGTGTATAAGATGACCCTCAATTTTTAGTCTAAAAATTTTAGACAAAAGTATAGTCTTATACATAGAAAAATATGGTAAGCTTCTGTTTACCGGACTTCAAGATGCGTTTTTACATTGGTATTTCATTCAAGTGTAGACATTTACCATAAGATCAGTCCAGAGATACATGACAGCAATTGAAAAGTTTGCTATTTGTAAGTTAGTGGGTCAATGAGCAAAATGCAATGACCATAAGGGGAAAGTATTAAAATATTTTCCTATATGTGCTTTTTTGCTAGCTAAATGCAGACATGAATTTCTAGGGCATGGCATTCTTGAATTACCCTTTAAGGGGGGAAATGTTTCACATTCCTTGGACTTACTGTATTATCAAAATGCTGTTGCACAGTTTTCACTAATCTACAAGAGTCTTGCAAAAAATCCACAGTGAAATAAAACTCTTAATCTTTAAGGTGCTTCAATATTTTCTTTCTTTCTTTCTTTTTTGTGGTCTTGCCTACAAAATGTAGTGGCTACACCCTTCTTTCGCTCTCCATGGAATGAGCAGAGTACAATCCCATCTGGATGCAGATTTCACTTTAGTTACCCTGCCTTTTGAAACAGCGGTGTTGAGAACTGGGGAATTATTTCCATTGCCCTGCCACCCAAATGTGGATTCATGCAGAATTAGAACCTGTGAAAGTTGCCAAACAGCCTTCTTGTTCCTTGAGACAGACTTGAATTGACAGTCTCTCTCCAGAAGCTTTCCTGGACAGCAGCCTGTAGCCTTCCTTTTCTGCTCTTTTCAGTGATTCAACCGCTTGTTTTCTTCCTCAGCCTCTTCCTAGCCTCTGTTACTGATTCCCTTTTTCTGAATTTCTTTGCTGCTCATACTGCCTGCATTAACAGGATTCCTTCCATCAGTTCCAGACAGGGTTGGATCTACCTTTGTCAAGACCCACTAAGCAATAGGTCTTCACCAGCTCTCTATATTTTGCTGTTACCCTTTGGCTTATAGACTGGTGATCCAGCGATGCCAATGGAATGTTCACAAACTGGCCTATCCAAACCTGACCCATTTAAAATCTTCTGTCCAGTGTTTAAATTGAGAACCACAAAGGCCTGTGACTGTTTTCTCTAGTAACTATAGCAACTTTATTGACAGTAGACTGCGATTGGTAAGGCCCGCATACAAAGTAAAAGGCTTCAATTAGAGGTAATCTTTTCATTTCTTACTGTTAACCACTGACAATCACAAAATGACTCAATTCCATAATACATTCCGGGTTTTGCAGTTTTACAATATTTTACTTTAGATGTTGTGATTCTCCACAGTCTTATGAAGACTGCTTCTTACAGAAACATAATTTAATTTAGCAGACCAGGCTTTCTTTTCCAAGGCAGATAAGTTTGCTTTAATCGATTTCGCTGTTTAATATAGCCTGTTCACTTTTTTTCTGGGGAAAATGTCTGCTATATTGGCTGAATGATCATGTTTTTCAGGAGATGCACGACTGAGAGGTCAGACAGGAGTTATCTCTGAGCGACGTGGTTCCTATCCATTTATAGACTTCCGTCTTCTGAACAGTAAGTAGAGTGTCTATTGGGAAATTGCTAGGGGGGATTTTTTTAAAACATAAGTTATTCAAATTGAAATATACAGAAAAAGTGTAAGAATTTTTACTGCATTCAGCCCACAATCCTATTGGTGTTCCTTTACAGTTATCATAATAATTAAGCAGCTAATTGCAGCTAATTGACATGGTGGTGGGACATGTCTTGCTTGTGTGCCTGTTCATGCATCTAATTGTACAACCAAGATACACCCCAATACCTTGTCAATTATCTGCAATTAGTCAGGGAATGTTAAATGAATCTTATGCAGACACCAATAGCATTCTGGCCCTGGGGTTCCTAAACACCTGCATAGGTGGCAACAAGAGGCATTTTGATATTTGTTTCTTTCTTTATTTTGATTCAGAAATGTAGAACATATTAAAATATTTGGTTCAGAACTTTGTAACTCAGAAGCATTTCTGATTTTTAATATATATTTCATCTCTCTCTCTCTCTCTCTCTCTCTCACGCACACACACACACACACATACACACACACACACACACACACACACACACAGAGAGAGAGAGAGAGAGAGAGAGAGAGAGAGAAGGCCAGAATCCTGTTGGTGACACATGCATGCATAATTAAAGTTATGTAACTCCCCACACCAAACTGCCACTCATGAGGCGCTGGCTGTGTTACAAGATACATGGCCTAGTAATGCAGCTGGGTCTCACTTAACAGTCTAATTTATGTATACATAATTCACCAGCAGGATTTTGGCCATTGTATTTTAACAAGTTACACACTGCGGAACTATGGAAACGATAAGTGGTGATAGCACAATGATTTATGACCTGACTTCCTCATTAGGTAGTACTACAAGCTCAGTACAAGCTTTCATTATATGCATTTAATATAATTTGTCTTGTTTTGTTGTATTAAAGCCATATTTGTCACATTAAAATCCTACTGAAAGCAACAGTGCAATGGATGGACAGTACAGATAGGTACCAGTTGATATAGCTCTGTGGCCGGTATCCTGTTTGTTGTTTATGTATATGTACTGACCTTGAACTGTGGAAGGTTGTATGGTAATTTCTTGAGCTTCCGTGTGTCATGTCCTATCTTGCTGAGTTTTGTTTAAAAGAGGTCACACATCAGCTGAAGGGCCTAGGGGATGAGCTTGAGGTCCCAGCTGGCAATCCCAGTTTAGGGACACGAGGTTCAGCCTGGACCATCCAGAGAGGGCTAAACTCTCTTGGTACAGAAGAAGTCCATCCCAGTGAATGCCAGAGGTACAAAGTAGGATTTAAATGGAGTCATTCTCTTGAGGGACATTCCAGCTAATACTATTTATTTGTTTATTTTATTAGATTTATACCCTGCCCATCTAGACATATAGTCTACTCTGGGCGGCATTACAAAATTTAAAAACAATAGAACCAATAAAATGGAAACATCCAAATATTAAAAATGTAAAGTGTAAAAATGTTAATATTAAAATACAGCAGGAAGGAAAACCTGCCTAAATAGCCATGTCTTAAGTAGGCCACTGCAGTCAGATGGGAAGAGCTCTCAAACAGCATCACAATGTTGAGAATGATGACTATTCCTCTCCTGCCTTGATCCTTACCTTCAGCATTCAGAGTTCATTGTTCCCTTGACAGATAGATCTCCCATGGCCCCAGTTTGGACTGCTTCCTGACTGTGTCTCTGCTTACTCCTTTACAGTATTTTTTGAACCTAGTATGGCCTTGATTTACACATTGACCCTGACAGGCACCCTGCCAATGCTTTGGCTTGTTCCTGGATTCCAGTTATTCTCTTCTTAGTGCCTCAACATGGCTTGGCTTAGGATGTCCCCTTGCTCCATGACAGAGATGTCCCATTTACAGGAACTTGCTTCTCATTTGTAGGCACATGTGGCTTTGAAAACAGGACATAATGCCTGCTCACAGGTTGTTGATGCCTTCTTATTAGAACACTGCAGCAGCTTCTGCAATTATAGCTCCATGTGTATGCACATATTGAACAGAGTACTGACTTATATATCTATATGTCTATATTAATCATTATAGCTATAGCTACATCTATATACTGTATTGATTTCACTGTAGAACTGTATCATTATATCATTATATCACTACATATTTCCCAGTGTGGGGCAATGGAGTGATGGACTAGGACTCTGGAGAACAGGATCTGAATCCCCACTTGGCCATGGAAACTTCTTGGAGTGGGGAGTGAAACTGGTAAAACCACTCCTTAAATATCTCACCTTGAAAGCCCTATTAGAGCAGCTATAAATTGGTTCCAACTTGACAGGAAAGAACAAGCATACATATATCAATACCTGTATCATACTTTAAAATTTCTTGTTGTCAGCATTTTAATATAAATGAATCCTGTATTTAAATGTAAATCACTTAGAGGTTTTATTAAATCAAGCATTGGGCAAATACAATAAATAATTTTTAAAGCACACTCAGTTCTTGGTGTAAGAGGTATAATATGTGTATAAATTGAATGTAAGGGGTTAGATCTAATGTTACTGTCTTGTAAAGGAGACTTATTGAAATCAGTGAGACCTCTTAGTACAAGTAGCCTACATCCAGATTATTTCAGTGGGTCTTCTGTGATTAATGGAATTAAATCTAGTAACATCCACCTGCAAACGAACACACCATCTATGCACCATGATGTGTGGATTTTAGTCTTAAAGTATTTAGGCAGCAGACATTCACCCATCGTTCACTTTTTCTTTTATTGGAATCTAGCCTACTTTGGCTTTTGAGTAGGATTTTCCTGGTAAGGTGGTAATAATTTATTTCTCTGATTGACTAAGTTGCTCAGTGAGTCACTGAAACAGATCCTTTCGGTGACTCATGTGTGGTGATTAAAATTAGCTTTCATTATCATATGATGAAGTCTGTCAGTAACTGAGGCAACACATGTCTTGATTGCCTTAATTAAAAGCAAGAGGGGATTCCATGTGGTGTAGTTGCAGTGGGATTGGTGAATCACAGCAGAATTTGCACAGAGCTGGGTGTTCTTTTTTCATATATTTTCCGAATAGAAAACTGGTCATTCAATATTAATAGCTGAAGCTCAACAAAAGACTTAGACATAAGGAAATGTCAATATATTCTACCAACAGTACACATAAGCAGTGAATAATGTAGCGCTCATCCCAGTTATTTATTTAAACGATTTACACAAGGCTTCCCTTCACTCACTTCTGAATCTAAAAATGTAAAATTGGGATGTTGATTTCACCTCTCTAGCAACTAGGCAAGCCCAACAGGAATTCTTGTGCTGCATTTTCCGAGTTAGGGCTTTCTGGGAGATCTGTGACTTATTTACCTATGCAAAGCTTCCGAAAATTATGGTTTTGGACTACAGCTTTCCAGAGCCCCCTGAAAAGCATGTTCAGTTGTCATCCTGGCGGTAAAATTTTAGAGCTACAATCCCACAAAAGTAAATCTCCCAAGTGATGTGCCAGATTCAGCCAAGTTGTACTGAATCGGCTAGTCTAAGCCAAGGTCATGGAGCTCAACAATGCATTGTCTGGTGGGCTGCTAAATAATGCTCCTCTAATCCCCAGCTGAATACAACCCAAGTCTCTGCCATGTAAGCCAGGTCAGCTTGATCATCCGACATTAAATCCTACATATTCACCATCCTACCTTTCACCAAGTTGGCGTTTAGTGATAGCACCTTAAAGATCGTCACTTTCAGACAGGCTTTTTGCCAATAGGTGTGGGTCAAAGCTATGGTTTTTCCTGTCGTGACGTGTGGAAGTGAGAGCTGGACCATAAAGAAAGCAGACCGCCAAAGAATTGATGCCTTTGAATTGTGGTGCTGGAGGAGGCTCTTGAGAGTCCCCTGGACTGCAAGGAGAACAAACCTATCAATTCTAAAGGAAATCAACCCTGAGTGCTCACTGGAAGGACAGATCCTGAAGCTGAGGCTCCAATACTTTGGCCATCTCATGAGAAGAGAGGACTCCCTGGAAAAGACCTTAATGTTGGGAAAGTGTGAAGGCAAGAGGCGAAGGGGACGACAGAGGATGAGATGGTTGTACAGTGTCACCGAAGCAACCAACATGAATCTGACCCAACTCCGGGAGGCAGTGGAAGACAGGAGGGCCTGGCGTGCTCTGGTCCATGGGGTCACGAAGAGTCGGACACAACTAAACGACTAAACGAACGAACGTGGGTCTCAGGAATGTTCTATTTACTGAATTTAGATATTTTTAATGTTTTTAAAATTGTTTTACATTGTTATTTTGGTGCTTTCTCAACTGTATTATCTAGTTTTAATTGTTGTGGGCCACCTTAGGTCATACACACACACAACACACAGACGAAACATATGACCAGAATGGGGAATATCCCCCAGGAAAAGGCACACATGGTTTACCTGGAACACTTGTATGCTTTCCATTTAAAGTGCTGCCTGTGCCATGATAATACCTAATAACGCAGACTTAGTAAAGACTGAAGGACACTACAGATTTGATCTACAGGGACTGGCCGATGTAAGACTGATGGCCGATGTAAGACTGAGCTAGATGCACCTTCAGATTTTGCAGGTCAGTAACTGATCTCTATGAAAGGAGTATTTAAAATCATAGAAAGTGAAGTTGGAAGGGGGCTACAAGGTCATGTCCAACCCCCTGCTCAACGCAGGATTACAATCAAAGCATATCTGCCCGGTGATTATCCAAGTTTTTCTTGAATGCCTCCAGTGTTGGAGGACTCACCAACTCCCAATTTTGTTTACACAAACAACATTTATAGTCCAGCATATCATTTAGATTTCAGCTTCTAGCTTCTAAGCACATTGGTTTCTTCCAGTAATTAGATAGAATACTAGTTCATACATACTAATAAGCTAAATCTTGCCTTACTGAAGTGGCTGCTTTTGTTGAAGCTCTTGGCAAGGAGGATATACAAGGAAAGTTGACATACCATGCAGCAGGACTTCGTTGTGCCATTCTTGTGCATCTGTAAAGGGATACTGCTAGGATGAGCATGCCTTCATTTTTCAGATTCTCAACAGCGTTTTCAAAAGTTGAAGCTATTACTGAAGATGAATGCAAGCCTTTGGTTCATTTTGTTTGGAAAAACCAAAACAATTTGCTGAGACATTTGGATTTGCTGAAATAATATTCCAGTATTAGCTTTGAAAGCACAGTAAAATATTCTTTTTTCATACCATTAAAATATTTTGTATTATTTGGGCATTACTTCTGCAAGCATCTGAACAATTATTTGTTCATGTATTACACACACACACACACACACACACATTCTTTAAAGCAAGTTATGAGATGTTCAGTTTGTTACCTGACCTTCTGTTCCAAGGAAAAGAGTGTTCTCATGATAACATTTAGATTGTTCAAATGACACAAGGAAGAGAAAGAACAAAATGAGAGGGCCATTAAGATGATAAATGAAAAGTAGGGTTCTCTGTTATTGCAGGTTATGGTCATTTTCCTTAAATGGGAAAAAGAACAGGGGAAGAAGGGCCATTTCCTTTCATTTACTGTGCAATTAGCCTTATTTCTATTCTTTAAAACATAGCCTAACGTACTTCTTCACATTTATTTCTATTCTTTAAAACATAGCCTAAAGTACTTCTTCACATAAGAATTAACTTTTTAGGTGCAGATACTCAATCCTGCAATATATTGCATAGTTAATGGTTGCATTTACGTATAACTGGTGCAGCACAAAGTAGTGCTATGTTCTAATTACATTTCCAGGACAATTCACAGGCTGTCTGAATTCAGTGGAAATCAACCAGTCAGATTGCTCCTTGCATTAATGACACAACATGTTGTGAAGCCATCCCATATTTCTCTAATGAATACATTTCCTATGGGAGAAACAAAGACAGAAAGAAAAAGGAAAGTTGACACATAGGAAACAGGGAAAGAAAATGAAAGACAGAATTATCTGAATGCCCCAAAAATTCTGTGAATGAGGGGGAGAGCAATTCTACAATAAAAGCTTTGTCAGAAAGCACATTCTATTTCTGGTACTTACCTTGCAGATTTAACTATTAATATGTCATCAAACATAAAACATGGGAAAGTGTTTCGTTAGTTTGTTTATTTTTAAGTTCAGTTCCAGAATCTCCAGGCAGGGAAGGGGGGGGGGTCATCATGCTAGCTAGGATATTCTAGGAGCTGCCATTCAAAAATCATTTTTTCCAAAGTTTGATCAGGTACCCCAAACTGATGCTGAACATGAATTTCGCCTGTATAAAGATCCTAGTGTTGGAGGTTTGCCCACTGAACTATATGGGTTTCTAGTGCATGCAGTGGGCTAAATCCTTGGCTGGTGGTTAAATATGAACACAGTGGCTATTCTAATAGTTGCCAGTGGCTGGTTAGTTGATTTTTCAAATGTTCAGCAGGATTTCTGAACTAGATTGGAACTGGGGAAATAATACTTGTAGAAAGGCTGCTCATGAGCAAAGGCATACACTGATCCAGGTGAACCTGGCCATGGTTTAAGTCTCTCAGAAGCAATTGATTCCATTGTGGAATGATCTGAGAGGCATTCTGACCTCACCTCATGAAATCCTGGAGGCCTAAAAGTGAGGAGAAGGAAAGGAATTAATGGGTTAAAAGATGATTATGCTGATTGCAAGGCAAATAGCAGAGAAAAATAAAAGGAGAACCTTCTTCTATTTAGATAATTTGTATACAAATTAAATCACTATTAACAAGGAGAGCAGGAGATGAAGGAAAATGATACTGTACATTTCTATATGGGTTCTGTACAAGTAAACTAGGTATTCAAATTAAAAATGCAAGCCAAGAAAACCAATGAGTTCTGTTGTTGCAACACGGGTATTGTACAAGGTTGTGTTATTTACATAATCATGGCAACAGCCAAAGTTTCATTGTGTCTGAAACTTGGTCTAGTGTCTCTCTTCTTGCTTCCACAATGGAAGAACACGACTTTTTTTGTCAATATGGCTTATGGTGTGTATGTGGAAGTTTACTTGTTCTCTAACATTCCCCGGTATATTATTCTTTAAAATATTGATGCTGCTTGCAGACCTAGAGTGATGTGGATCAAAATGAAGTTCCCCGTCTCTTCTGCATTTTATTCTTCACTGAAATACCATGAGAATAAACTTAAATAATTCTGTTGAGGCTCGGATTTGTTTTGCCAGCAGAAAATTTTCAACCAACCACACTTTGATGCTCAATATCTTTGTGAGCACAACTCCCGCTTTGTTGTTGCTCTTGGGAGAGGAAGATGTGGTGGAACAAAGACGTTTGTTCTGGGCTGTAAGGGGAGCCACAATTATGCATTTTAAAGCAGGCAACCAAGATTTGGCCTTACTTGAATTCTAGCATGTTCATGTAGTGAAGAACTTTGTATCTCTTGTTTTTCTACAGATACTATTTACTCAGGGGAAATTGGAACAAAGAAAAAGGTGAAAAGACTCTTAAGCTTCCAGAGGTATTTCCATGCATCCAGGCTATTGCGTGGAATCGTACCACAAACATCATTGTACTTACTGGATGAAGACTACCTTGGTCAAGCAAGGGTAAGAAGCATCTCTAACAAACACAGTTTTTAGAGACAGGTGTACTTCAGATCATCAAATCCCTACATTGGCTGTGCCTGAACTTTCCTTTGAATGTGACAGAAACCTGTGGCTAAGTGAAACTTCTAGATTTGATCCATTGCGTGTGTGAAAGGAGCACCAAAACAATGTCAGAAAGGAGATATGGAGGTACACTAAACTTGCATATATCCTTCCTATTAAACGTGTCCAGGAAAAGAAGGGCCTTCATCTGATAGTAGAAAGAGTGCCTGCGTGCAAAATTGACCTCCTGCGGAAGAGAGTTCCACAGCCTGACAGTAGTCACCAAGAAGGCCTTCTCTTGTGTCGTCATCAGGCATGCCTGTGATGGTAGAGGTTAAAAAAAAGACCTAAGACCTACCCCTAAGATCTTAAAACCCATGGAGATTCATAAGGAGAGAAACAGTTCTTTAAAGAGTCTGGACTCAAGTCATCTATGAGACCAGATATTATTTGACAACGTTGTGTAATTCAGACTTCGTGTTTGCTTTCTTTTCTCTTAAACTCCATTTCATCCCACAGTTTTTGACAGCCCCCCCCTGCTGCCAACTTTGTAAACTTTCGAAGTTGTTGGTTTTTCATGACACAAATATAGCTGTTTTCTAGAAGTTCAAATATCAAACAGGGTTTGCATTTTTTTTCTTGGACAACCACAACATATGTGGGTAAGAGGATGAAATTTTTCCAGGAAGATGCTGAGTTCAGTTTTCTGTCCAACAAATGTTATTACAAAGACAAAAAAAAAAGAGGTTGATTTTTCGAGACGTCCTGTTGCACTATAAGGAATAACAGTCCTGGGATACATACATGTTTATAAGCTAAGATCTATGTTTCCAATTTGTTTTCCTCCAAGCTAGATCATTGACATTATTTGCTCTTAAAATGCGGAAGTAGTGAAGGACTGCACATGGAGTCTATTTACATTTATTCAGAATTCCTCATGCGCACCCTCCATTGGTTAAATAGATCCTCCTTCAACTGTACTCAACATATCCCAAGTAGATGCCATGCTCTTAATTTCTATTGAGAAAATCCATCATGTGGCAAGATATATGGATGGCTACTGGACTTTGTTTTTATTTCCAATTTTATTATTATTATTTGTAAAAAAATTAGTCAATGGCAACAATTTCTGTACATAACAGAAAAGACGGTTCCCTTGGAGAATATTCCTACATATATTCCAGTTGTAAAACTCTACCTAAATATCAGGGACATTCCAGATGAGGCTTTTGTTGAGCAATTGCCTTGCCACATTCACAGAATTTACTGGGCAGTCCAGACAATGTTGCTCCCCAGTTGTAACCCCAGTTGTGCTCTTACCCTGGAGAGTCAACTCATCACCTGTACGTAGATATTTTTATATCTGCTATAACCGTATGACCTTGTTTGGCCTGTTTGAAAATGGCAGCTCTTCAGATTGTGGGATTTCTCTGTAGTAGCTAGGGCCAATGGGAGCTGAAGTCAAACAGCATCTGGAAAGGAGCATCTGGAGCGCTACACATGCCTTGTCATGAAGGAGGGTGGTTTATTGGGATTGGTAGTATTAATCAAGGCACGTGCAAAGTACATTTTCCTCTGAATATAGTTCATCTGCATATTTGTGATCAGGAGGCAAAGTTTTTAAATAAGAGGGTGTGGTTTTCTGGCTAACCATGAGTACAAAATACACACACACACACACACACACACACACACACACACACACACACACACACACACACACACACACACACACACACACACACACACACACACATGTCAGTATATATGCAAGCAAGCAGATAAAATGTAATCCAAGGAAACTTGTTAGAGGTTTTGTTTGCACCCATGTTTATCCTGCATTGCCTATTTATATTTCCAGCACATGCTATCCAAAGTGGGAATGTGGGATTTTGACATTTTCCTGTTTGACCGCTTGACAAATGGTAAGTTTAAAAAATCTGTTTCATAAAATCTCTTTCTCAAAGTGATACTATTGCTTCTTCCTAATTGCCTTGAGGTTCATCTGTGAACCTTAGATCTTCTATTACATTAGCTTTTGTTTCCAACATATCAATGTATCTAAATGAATAGAGAAGTTTAGAAACATGCATTGCTGAAATAGCAGAGATTTATGCCATAGAATCTGTGGTTTCCTTGCCTCCTGCTTGTGGTTTTTCCACAAGCTTCTTCCATAGGCACAGTGAGAGCAGAATTCTGGACTAAAGAGTCGCCTTGATTCTGATAAAAAAAAGTACTGTTATGTTTAGATGCTGTTAAAATTATGTATTTATCTTATCCTACCTCTTTTCTGGGTAAAACCGAGATTTCTCCCCTTGTTATAAATTAAGGAGACTAAATTATACTATTTCCTTGGGATTAAAAAGAGAAGAACTTTGGTTTGAAAGAAACCTGTTCTGAATCAACACTGAGCTATTTAAACAGAGAACTTTCTTTCAGGAACATATGAGGAACTCTGGATTTATAAGACAGTGGTCAGAACCTTTGAAGCATTGGTGTCTTTTGAGGACATGAGCAGAAGGATAGACCGAGGGCCAAACGAGACGTGGTGTGGCAAACTTGTAGACAGGATTCCTCCCTTAAAAAGAATAAAAACTCAAAGAAGGCAAATCACGCTGTTTACACGATATTGCTATTTACTGCACAGGGTAAAACATGTAGGTATCCTTTCCCCCCAACTGGAGTATTTTTGAAAAACCATAAAAAATAGTTCATGTGCTTGATCATGCATACATTATTCATATGCTTGTTTCTTAATTTTAAACAAAAACAAGATTAATTTCCCTGCTGATTTTCCAGTAATTTGTCTGACACTGGGTATAGTTATAGTCAGCTGATTGCCCTAGGCTTCCAATTATGTTAGGAATAAGGACTCACCAAAATTTTCTTTTTCAACCGGTCATTGGGTGGAGAACGAAATGAATCCTGACCCTCTCATTGAGAAAGATTAAGATATCTGAAATTAGAGGATAACTAAACTTTTTTCCTAGATTGTTCTTTCCTTTTGTTGGGGGGGGGAGAGGTTTAGGCTTTGAGTAGCATATATAGAGTGGGATGAAAAAACCCTCGCTATCTCCTAATCCTAATTAAGGCAAATGGCATCTCTCCCACTTCAGTGACAACCCCTCCCAAGAAATCAATAGAAAATAAACACTATTTTTTTTTCACTTGGGAAAATGGGATGGAAATTTCTGTTGAGGCTTAGGAATTCAGATTATTTTTTCAAAGCTTAGTGAAGTTCTCTTTAACAAGAGGATTCAAAAGAACAAATAAATCAGACAAAAACAAAAACAAAACAAAAAGGCCAGTCTTTTAGCTGTTATCTACTTAAGCCCTGTAGTGTGGGTAGAGTAGTATTTTTATTTACTGTTATCAGTCACTGAGAAATGACAGTGTACTGTAATATGTCCCTGTGGCTGAAATACTGCTACTCTTCAGCAAAGAATCTAGCCTGGAGGAAACAGCAGGGAGCCTGAAGAGTACAATGACTTGCATGTTTTTTTTCCCCATAGGACCACATTTCATTCCATGTTTCAAGGAGACATTCACTTGTCTATGTGGCAGCCGTAGGAAGCGGCCTTATACTTTTTCAGAACCTTGGCCTGTCTAGGCCAGTGATAGGGAATCTCTGGCCCACCAGGCCCCATCAGGCCCAGGCGTTTGTCTCCCAGGGCCACAACCCTACCACCAACCACAAGATCTAGTCCTCAGCCATCCTGAGATAGCTTGAGATATTATGACTGGAGAGAAATTGCTGCTGCTTTCCCACCTACCCCCACCCCCAATTTTGCATTGAGACTTTAAAAATTAGAATCAATGGATGATTTTTTTAAAATACAGGTATTAGTCTCAAAATTAAGGCTTTTGGAGGGATGCTTCTAAACAGAGGAAAGCACTGCAACATTCCCATGCTTTTAGCTTATGACTACAGATTGTTTCTCCCCTGCCTCAATTATTTCTTTTTATTTATTTATTTATTGTATTTATACCCCGCCTATCTAGTCATTTTGACCACTCTAGGCGGCTTTTGAAAGGCCTTCATTAGTGTCTGGAAGCTTTTATAAGCCCAACTTATGAATCAGGAAGGGGAATTTTTGGAAGACAGGTGTGTGAGAAAGCAAGAGGGAGAAAGAGTCTAGTACATTACTGCTAGCAGTAATTCACCAGCATCTCAGATAACGGTTTTCTCCAGCCACATTGTGTTTATCCTGAAGAAACTTGGGATCTCATTCATCCAAGTCATGTGATGTTCCATCAAGCTAATGAACCTTTCTATCCTATGGCTCATTTTTAAAAACAGTCTAACAAAATTCTTTTGGCAAGAAAACAGTTCCAGAAATCGTAATGGTTCCACAAGTGGTAACGCTTCCATCCCCATAGTGATGCTTTTAGAAACATTACCATTGCAGGCAATTGCCATTTACTGTTGTTTGCCTAAAGAGTTATTCTAGGCTCTGTTTTTAATGTTTTTAGTAAACCAACAGCAGGTTTCCAGGTTTGTGGGGGCCTTTCCTAGTCATCTTGTTCCAGGGCTCTGGTTTTAGTGAGATCATCTATACAGTTCAAGGCATGAATTTTGCGAAGTAACTCTGAAGCAGACCTAACTGGAGAAGGAGTGACAGGACTGCAACAACACTGCTAATTAAAGTACAGTATCAGGATACCTAGTGGGAAGAAAGTCCTAGATGTTCTGTCAAATTTAACACAGTTCTTCCTCTTCTTTCAGGGAATAGCCTAGTCACCTTGCTGTGCCATCTCTTCAATGTCCATGGGCTTATCCACCATTTTCAGTTAGACATGGTTACATTACACAGGTTCTTAGGTAAGTGCTTTCTTCTCTACTGCTCTTGATGAAGGTTATCCTTAAAGCTCTAAAGCATTTATGCCCCAAAATCTAACAAACATGGTGGAACCATTTTTTTACTGGGGGTTTCAACTCCTGTAAGACTCACCCAGCTTGGCCAATGGTAAGACATAGTGGGATGCAATCCAGAATTTCTGTAGGAGGAAAGATGCCCTTAGGCAATCCCTAAGGCTTAGGCAATCCCTCCTTCTATACGTATATCATAATGCTCACATCCTAAAATTCAAAGCAAAAGCAAAGTAAAGCGTGCTGCTTATATACCACCCCATAGTGCTCCAAGCACTCTCTGGGCGGTTTAAAAGTTAATTCTGCAGGCTACACATTGCCCCCCCCCCAGCGATGTGGGTACTCATTTTACCAACCTCAGAAGGATAGAAGGCTGAGTCAACCTTGAGCCAGCTGCCTGGGTCGTGAGAACCTTCTCTGTGTCCAGTCTAAGATTAGAATTGCATTTGAATGGGATGAAAAGAAGTCTTCCTCAGCAGCCACACCCAGATTTGGGGATGTTATACCCAGGAGGAATTTTTTGGTTGCTCCTGCCAATTTTGAGCCAATTGCTAAAAGTAGCTTTTATTCTACTAGGATTTTGTTGCAGATGGCAAACAATGGCCTAAGTCCTATTATTTATGCCAGCCGGCATTAACACGGTGAGCATAAATTTTGTTGAGAAATTGGTGCAAGATTTTAAAAAAACTAGTGTAGGCATTCGCTGTTATGCACATAACTCAGCCCACAAGAGCAGATACCTATACTGTTTTCTTCACTTGTAACAATTCACCAACCAGATGTATGTCAACTGCACTATTCAGCAATAATATAACAGAATAGAACAAAACAAAACACAATGTAGTTTTGACCAGCGTTTCTATGTTTACCCTTTGTCCTGGGTTGGTTGTTTTGTATTATTCTTATCTAGAAATGCTTAACTTTAAATATTTCAAGCTGCTCTAAGTGGTGCTTTTGTGTGATACAAATGTTTTAACAAAACCAAGTGTACCATCACATGGGGAAACAGACCTCTATCAGGACTGCTTGTGGAGTGGTCTGGTGTAATCTGTTTCCCAGCAATCACATGACATGTAGGACAATGTGTTTGACCTTGGTCCATGTTCAACCTGGACACTTTTGGTCCAGCTGTAGGGCTACTATGTTTTGGGGCTTGGCTGGAGTGATTGCTTGCAGACAGAAGGGTTGCTTTAAAGTGAAATCACTCTGATTAAATCAGGCAAAATCCAAACAAACAAGCAAAAAAAACAAACAAACATGTGGCACCTTAAAAACTATCAAATTTTAATGGGAGCTTTTGTAAACACATCCACTTCGTCAGACATATGGGAACAGAATGAAATGTTGAATGAAATATCAGTTTCATACTGATTTGTAGCTTGGGCATCTGCCTGGACTCGGATCTCACCATGGAAACCCAGGTGGCATCTGTGGTCCCGGCAGCCCATTTCCATCTTCAGAGGATTGCTTAGCTGCATTTGTATCTAGACGTGGGGGCGCTCACGATGCTGATTCATGCACTCGTAATCTCAAGAATAGACTACTGCAGTGCTCTCTACATGGGGACACCCTTGAAATTTGGTGGCCAGATTAATAACTGGGGTTTAGAAACTCCAGCACATCTCCCCCATTCTGGCCGCCCTTCATTGGCTACCGGTTCATTTCTGCATCAGCTTCAAGGTTATGATGATACTGGTAACATTTAAAGCCCAAAACGGTTTAGGACCTTGGTACGTATCAGAACGCCTGCTCATAGCCAGATCTGTCTGTGATACCTGTTCTTCACAGACAGGATGGTTGAGGGCCTTGACCACAAAGGAGGCTCAGAGGGAAAGAACAAGAAACCAGGCCTTCTCAGTGGTCGCCCCCTACCTGTGGAACAATCTGCCCATGGAGATTGGCCTAGCACCCTCGCTAGATGGGTTCAAACGAGCACTGAAGACTTGGCTCTTCTGCCAGGCTTTCCCTGAGCATTACGTTTTTGAGATATCAGCCTCCCTTTACCATCCTTTTAACCATCTTTTCATCAATAACAACAACAACAACAATAACAACAACAACAACAACAACAACAATAAATATTCATTGACTCTTGGATGTATGTTACATCTATATTCAGTAATTTATGTTGCTTATGTTGTTTTAGGACTCTGTTGTAAAAATTCCTCAAGAGACAGAAAACAGACACTAGGCCTGAGCAAAGATGGGGGAGGAGAAAGAAAAGAAGAGGAGGGGCGTGGGGGTGGTTTGAAGATGGGGGATTCACTTAAAGCTCAAGAGGGAGGGGAAATAGTATATTAAATATAAAGGTGAAAGGAGATGGCAGAGGAATCACATATGTCAATGCAGCGAATATTGACAGCTTCTACCACTGAGTCTTGTGATGAGAGATGGGTTTGGTATTTGTAAAGAAAATAACAGTGGCAGTAGATAACAGGAGAAGTATAACATTTGGTAATGACTTAAGAAATCCAGGTTTACATTGGAGCCATTAAAGTCTCTCTTTCTAGTTAACATCTGTTTACTTTTGCAGTATCTGATCATACTCAAATAGACAAATCAGGCCCCATAAATGGGCCTCTTGGCACTTGGAAGATGTGCAAACCGTTGTAGAGAATGAATCTACGTAAAACAGATAGCAGGCTGAGGTGTGACCATTTAATCCTGTACCTAGAACCAAAAACAACATAAAAGAACTGATCAAAAGCACTGAGGATTGGAACAGACAGAAAACAAAGGCTACTGAAAAACCTGAATGAGGGTTTCAGCCTGGCACACAGGCACATAGTCTGGGATCTAAGGCCATTCAGCTCTGTAGTAAGAAGCATCTGTTTCTCCCTCATCTGATTTCTTTAAAAAACCTTCATTACCCCTGGCAGATACATGAAGAAATTTGCAACTTTGATAACTTTATGTAAAAAGCAAGCAAGCAAACAAAATTCTCCCCAATCTCCTCCTCCTTGGTGGTTAGATATACTCGTGGCTATTCTGACCTTGGATGCATCAGCTTTAAACAGGGACATTGTACTGTATCCAAACCAGCCTCAAGGTTCTTGAGCTTTATCATTTCGGCTTTATCATTTCAGTTTCTGTGGTTCCTGTGCTGAAGTCCTGGATTCTATGTCGTATTTCATGCCACACAGCAGAACCAAATCACATGAGATAATTTATTGTGATGACCATAGATCAGCCAAAAAAAAAAAAGACTACAGAAAAATAGATACAAGTAGAAACAAAAGAAAACTGCAGGAACATTACAGAAATCAAGTTTGTGTTGTTACAGCTATACATTTCTTATATGGTTAGTGGAGTAGTCTGCCAATTGCTTTCTTGTTAAATGTGGTGTTGCACAAAAGTTGCTACCCTAACTCTGATTTCGCAAAAGTGGAACCAAGAACATATAGCATCATACAAAATGCATCTTTAAAGCCAATGTTAAGGGGTTTTTTTTGTTGCCTGTTACACTCTTCATCTTAAGGGAGTTACTCCAAGTAGCTGCTATTGTAACTTCTACGGCATCCCTTGTTCATTCAACTACATTTCAACATTTGTCAACTCACTTTACACTTCCATTTTAGAGATTTAATTTCATTTATTGGGCTGACTGTTTTTAACTGACTTCAGTCAACATGATTTTCTCAACATTCATTTTATACCATATTCATTAGTTACTTTATTGACTTTATTCAATAATTATTGCAAAGCATCTAAACTGTTATCTAATATCTACATATTAGACATTGTTGATAACCATGCTATTGACAATGTCATTGGAATCAGAAAGTGCTTTTCTAAAGATATCCTCAGAGTACAAATTGAAAAGCAGTGGTGACATTCATCTTTGTATTTTTCTTCTATCACTAGATTTTTAGCATTCACTGCTGGTTTTTGTTGCCAGTACAGTTTTCCAAGGCATGACTCCCACTTGAATTAAGATCTATGTTTACCAACAACTCCATCAGTGTGGTGTATTGGACTTTTTCAAAGGCTTTATTCTAGTCAGGAAAACAAACATTAATATCTACAAGAGTTAATATCTACAGCATACCTCCTCAGCTACATGTATGCAGAATCAATATCGTTCGTTCGTTTAGTCATGTCCGACTCTTCGTGCGCCGTGGACCAAAGCAAGCCAGGCCCTCCTATCTTCCACTGCCTCCCGGAGATGTGTCAAATTCATCTTGGTTGCTTCGATGACACTGTCCAACCATCTCATCCTCTGTCGTCCCCTTCTCCTCTTGCCGTCACATTTTCCTAACATCAAGGTCTTTTCCAAGGAGTCTTCTCTTCTCATGAGATGGCTAAAGTACTGGAGCCTCAGCTTCAGGATCTGTCCTTCCAGTGAGCACTCAGGGTTGATTTCCTTTAGAATTGATAGGTTTGTTCTCCTTGCAGTCCAGGGGACTTTCAAGAGCCTCCTCCAGCACCACAATTCAAAGGCATCAATTCTTCTGCTGTCAGCTTTCTTTATGGTCCAACTCACACTTCCATACATCACTACAGGAAAAACCATAGCTTTGACTATTCGGACTTTTGTTGGCAAGGTGATGTCGCTGCTTTTTAAGATGCTGTCAAGGTTTGTCATCACTTTCCTCCCAAGAAGCAGGCGTCTTTTAATTTCGTGGCTGCTGTCTCCATCTGCAGTGATCATGGAGCCCAAGAAAGTAAAATCTGTCACTGCCTCCATATCTTCCCCTTCTATTTGCCAGGAGGTGATGGGACCAGTGGCCATGATCTTAGTTTTTTTGATGTTGAGTTTCAGACCGTTTTTTGCACTCTCCTCTTTCACCCTCATTACAAGGTTCTTTAATTCCTCCTCACTTTCTGCCATCAGAGTGGTATCATCTGCGTATTGGAGGTTGTTGATATGTCTTCTGGCAATCTTAATTCCGGCTTGGGATTCCTCCAGTCCAGCTTTCCACATGATGTATTCTGCATATAAGTTAAATAAGCCGGGGGACAATATGCCTTAGCCCAAATTCAGTGGAAACTGGCATTCTCCTCATGAAGAAGACCATGTTGTATCTGTTGCTATGCAATTATTGAATGGGAAGAAGCTGCCTGAGAAGAAAGAGGTAATTTAGCTCCACAGAATTTTAAGAGCGTTCTGCCTAGATGGAGGAATCTGTCAGTTTTACTTTCTCTGATATTCTTTTTTTTCCTCCAAAATCTCATTTTACCCACACCCTCCATCTCAAGACCTTTGCAGAAGCTGAGAGGTCTCTTACTCAAAAATGAATAGAGCACAATTCTTACCCACTACTATTCTTCTGTATTCTTTCTATTAGGAAAGAAGGATGCTTTTAGGGGATGCTGTTAAGACTTTATTTTGCATTATAGTAAAGAGAGGTTTTATTCTATATTTTAAAGAAGTCCCTTCCCCAGGTTACCTGGATGCCTAATCTTGAGTTATAGAATCTTCAGAATTACCTCATTTATGCTTTCCTCAAGGCAACAAATTCTTATTATACCCTATATTCTTTCTAGGAGCATGGTTAATGTGACATTTTGTCAGAGAATTGGAAACTGGAAAAACTACATGTCATGATCAGATTTTAGCTGAAAAACAGTAGAATTCTCACTTGTAATATTAATGGGAGCCAAGAAAGTTGTAAAGTTCTCTGCCAACTTTCCAGCTGAAGATCAGCTATTATAGATTTGGAAAATACAAGTAGCCATGATAGTTTTAAAATGGTGGGATTAAAAAAAGTAGTCAGTTCAAGAACCTGTGGGATGAATTTGCTTCAGTAACATTCTTGCATTTGGGAATCTTGATTTTCAGGCTTATTCGTATAAAGAACTCATCTTGCTATGGCCAGAGCTTGGAAAGGTTACCCCTTTTAAGACTGTACATCTCAGGATCCCAAGCTCTGGTCATATAGATTCAAAACTGTTTTAAATGCTTGGAATCGTTAGTGCACCTTCTAAAACGGGTGCAAACTTAATTTGGCTTTGATCTGACTTTTCGTTAATTTTTGCTGAATTTTTTTCCCCCACCAACTTTTGACAGCTGTCAAAATTTGACAGCTCCATGCTTTCCTATGGGGGAGAAAACAATTCACAGAAAATTAACGAAGACTCAGAACGAAGACAAACTAAGTTTGCACAGGTTTTGCAAGGTGCTCTAACGAATCCAAGCATTTAAAATAGTTTCTGAGTCTTCGTTAATTTATTGTGAATTTTTTTCTCCCCCATAGGAAACAATGGAACTGTCAAAAGTTGGGAGAAAAAAGTTGGGAGAAAAAAATTCACAAAAAATTAACGAAAAGTCAGCAACTTTTTTAAATGCTTGGGTTTGTTAGAGCACCTTCTGAATCGTGTCTTTTTAGTTTAAAATTGTGCTTTTCTCCCCCATAGGAAAGCATGGAGCTGTCAAATTTTGACAGCTGTCAAAAGTTGGTGGGGGAAAAAAATTCAGCAAAAATTAACGAAAAGTCAGATCAAAGCCAAATTAAGTTTGCACACGTTTTAGAAGGTGCACTAACGATTCCAAGCATTTAAAACATTTTTGAACATTATAAGACACTTTTAAAATTGAAAAAAGGTCATGGTTAAGCGAAACAGGGGACCTAAAATGCATTCATTATGCAAAGCATGGTCCCGAAATCACTAAGCGAAAATCGCCCATAGCAAACATCGTTAAATGATGCATAGAATTCTTTAAAAAACATTGTTAAGCGAAAACTTTGTTAAGCGAAAATACAGTGGTGCCTCACAAGACGAATTTTGTTTGTTCACAGTTAATGTGGTCTTGTGAAAAATTTGTCTTGCAAAATGCGTTTTCCCATAGGAATGCATTGAAGTTTAATTAATGTGTTCCTATTGGCCAAAAAAGTCAGAACAAAGTCAGATTTGGTTTACAAAGGGTTTATTAATTGCTCTTTAAAGCCATACATATTGTGCAGATTATTTCAAAAATTTCAATCAAAAAAACTTTAACGTTTTAAACATCATAGAAAAACATTTTAAAATCAGCAAACATGAGACAGGAACAAAAAACAGAAAACATTCGTCTTGCGAAGCATGGCCATAGGAACATTCATCTTGCGAGTCATCAACCCCATCGCCAAAACCATTCGTCTTGTGAGTTTTTCCTCCCACATTCGTCTTGCGAGGCACCACTGTAGTTTGATTTTCCCCTTTCATTGCTGAGGTGAAAAATAGCCTCTCCTAGTTGCCAGTAAGACCAAGAGAAACTTTCTTGGCAATGCAGTGAGAACTCTGGAGTTGCATTTTTTTGTTGAGACTGTGGCAGGAGAGAAAGATTTAAGCCTTTACTCCTCCCTCATTCCTACTGTCCAAAGGCTGATGAGACTTTTCCATGGATATTTTATGCACTGAAAAAAAGAGGAAGTTAATTGCATTTACTCAATTCAGACCTAATTTGGCCGCAAATACATTTTTTGAAATGGATAGGAACCCTTTAATTTACGATTAATAAAAGCAGTCTGTAGGAACAAAGAAATTGCCCATTGTTTCTTCAAAGCAGGTACCATCTTACTGACAGTCATAGAGTAAAACAACCTTAAATAATTATTGCATCAAAGATGTTTCCTCCTCCACCATCCCCAAATACTATTGATTTTTCCTCTGAATTGGTGCTTTCACTGAAAACAGTAAAAGTGTGATTTATAAAGCAGGCCTCCTGTGCTTCAAGGTCTGACGTCTTTTCTTGAGTGGGCTTCCTTCCCTCCCTTCCACCAAGGGACAGTCTTGTTAGAGAATGCCAAGCCATTAAAATGTTTTCAAAGAGATCTACCTCTGTTGAATTTAAGACATAAATCCGACATTTCTAAAATGACAACCATATTTTAACCACCGGTTCAAAGGATAATCGTGATTTGGGCAAAAGGCTAAGATTATGTTCCTCCCTTTTATTTCTAGTTATGGTGCAAGAGGACTACCACAGTCAAAACCCATACCACAACGCTGTCCATGCTGCTGACGTGACACAAGCCCTGCACTGCTACCTAAAGGAGCCCAAGGTAACTGTTCTGGGAGGAAGAGGGGAAGGAAAAGACATTAGGGGAAAGAAGAGGAATTAAGATCATTTCTAGCTACATAGACTAAAGCTTTAAATCTGTCTTTCAAAACCCTCAGCCTTTCTGTGGCTAATGATAAGCTGATTTTTTTTACAAAGAGTCAGCTGAATCCCCAGGCAGTTGTGGTAGAATCAGGGCTCAGAGGATTGAAATCCCAAGACTTTCAGATACTATCTGACAACACCCGCCACCTCCATCTGGCTTCCGTGTTCCCTCTGAGGTTAGCTGTAATCCTCACAGTGGCTGAGAGAAAGGGATTTACCCAAGAACAGTATGTTATTCCAAGTTATCCCTGTTTCAATGCAAAATATGTCAGGGTTGTTTGGTTTTGAACGGGCAACTATCAGCCACCAGCTTTTCAAAATACTAGCTCTCGTTGGTTGATGTGGACTGATCCAGCTGCCTAAATTTTTGGACTTATGTCTGTGTGTGGCTATGGGAAATGTTGTTGTTTTGGACTATGCTATAACAACACGTCTGTAAACATTCCTAGCAGGTATCAAGCTGAGCTAAAGATCAGTCCTGGCACATTCTCAGCATCAGGGCTTAGCAGTAGATAGGAAAGTTGCTAAAGAAAGTGACAGTGGATATTTTAAGCATCTTAGCCTCAGAAAAGCAAAACAGAAGATGGGTCAGAAAGGGAGCCTGGTCCAAGTAATTCAGGTTCTGTCCCTTCTTCCTAATTAAAGTGACAAAATTGAAGTCCACGGGGTTACTATACAAAGTTCCATGTTATTACAAGATACCTGTACATCTCCACTACTGCTTTTCCACCCTCTCATGACAAGTAAGCTGGAGAATTAACTTATTTCCCAGTGGTGCTCACCGTGGGATCCTAGCTTTGCTTTGTTGCAACCAGTTCAATAGCAAACAAACCCTCGTACTGTATATTCATTGATGGTGACCCTTGTAGAGCTCAATCTTTTTTTAACACTAGTTCACCAAAATGTTCCAATGCAGCTTCACTGCTGGCCTCAGTATCAGATGGCACACCCTAGTGGGAAGCCTTTCCTGTCCATTTTGGACCATTCAGAATGAAAAGGGAGGCGGATGGCAGTCATGGGGTAGGAGAAAAAATGAACATGGCTAAATTAATGTTGGAGTCAATCATGGACATTGCAAATCACAGCCACAGACAAGCATGTCTATGAGTGGTTCATTTGTGTACTCGAGTAATGGACCTTTCAAAAGCATAAGCAGCATTCCTAAGCAGAGACTAAGAGCTGTTTTGTGGCACAGCCATAGCCTACATGTGCACATTTGTAGTGGGAGACCTGGCAGTTTGTGGTTCAGTTGGCTTAGATGACAGAGTCCTGATGCCATGTCTGAGCAGGGAAATGAATGTGCACAGATGGCAATGTTCTGAGCCACCAGAGTGGCCCGTGTGTGTGTTTGCTGTAAAAAGGGTTCTCTTGATTAGACTTTTCATACTTAATATAAACAGTTACTGCTATGCTGGTAGGAAAAGAGAAAACAAAACGTTGACACCGAATAAGAGAGCATTCTTCAAGAGACAGATAAAAACAAAGCAGCTCAAAGACAGTAAAGAAATCCACAGTACCAAAGGCTTACATATGCATTTAAATTTCTATTTACATGTTTTGGGATAGATCCAAATAAGTCACTGGTAGTTACCTTAAGCTTGTTGATGGCTTAGTCCTAAATTAGATTGAAATTTTGTGTATGTATTTTGTATTTGTATATGTACATGTTTTTGTATCTATGTTATAGTTGCATTACAACAAACCTAGCCACTTCTTTAAACAACTTCCCCCTTCTCTTGCCTGTTCAGTGAGGCTATCTTTCACTTGTTCTATACATTTATTTAAAGATCTGTAGGGAGGATTTGCAAGGGAAATAGCAGCAAGTGGTGCAGGTTTAAGCCCCAGCATACCCACCACTTCATCATTTAAAACATATCCCATGCCTTCACCCTTATGGAAAAAAGAGGGTTAGTGATCTCTGTGCTTCCCTCCTGACATCTATATTGACTCTGAAACTGTCTAATCTAGAAATGCCAGGAATGCAACCCAAATGTTTCAGATACAGAAATTCAGATGATGCACCACATAGCCACTTGAAACTTGTAGCGGACCTGTAGTCTTTACCACTAGTAGATGTAAGAAGGTGCAAGCTTCAGAGAAATGGGCCAGTGGGAAGTCTGTATCTACCTCTGTGTGTACAGTAGGTAGCTTGCCTATGCAACACTTTACTATAAACCAAGCGTGTCTCCCTTTGCCTATAATAATCCGTTTTATTATTAATAAATGCCATCCAGGAACAGAACTTGTAAATCAAAGGATGGCAACTTTGTGTCTCCAAAACAGAAGGTGGGTTTTCTAAGAGGTTTTACCAGATTTGGAAAAAAAAATAATTACATAAAGTTACACAATATACCTAAGTACTTCATTTTCTTATTTTGGGCAAAATGAGCAGCCTTCTTTCTGATCAGTAGGTTTTGAGACTATATTATATATATAAAACAGTCCACAATTTTTGCTTGCTATGAATATCTGTCACTAGCAGCACTGAAATGCACGATAAAGTAGACTGGCCTCACATATGTCTATCTCAGCCCATGGAGGTGGATGTTCACAAGTTACCTACATTGGGTGCACATGATATCCTCTTTTATTTAAACATTATTTTAATAACTGACATCTCAATCGATAATGTTCCTCCTCCCCAAGAGTTGGTTATTTCAGAAATTGCAAAGTTTGGGAAAGCTACTTTTTTGTTTTTACTACAACTCTCAGAAGCCTCCCAGCCAAATGCTGGGGATAGCAGTAAAAAGTAATTTTTCCAAGCCCGGAAAAATTCAGTATATTGATAATATAGAGCTGTGATGTCAAGTTAAAAGTCTTGCAAGACACTTCCATCACTTCCATGAAAATGGACTAAATAACAACCTTACAAAGTGGACGAAACAAAAAGCTGAACAGGTTTAGGAACTAATTTAACCGTTTATATTAAGGGACAACTCTTGTCTTTGATTTAACTTGATTTTCCCCCACATGGAACAGCTTGCCAACTTCCTCACACCTCTGGATATTATGCTCGGACTACTGGCTGCTGCAGCCCATGACGTTGATCATCCGGGAGTCAACCAGCCATTTTTGATAAAAACCAAACATCACCTTGCCAGTTTATACCAGGTGAGAAAGGCTTGGTAGGTGGCATAAACAGCTTCTTCTTCATTATGGAGTAACACGTTCCCTTTTTCTTGACGGAATTTGTTAATGGCCTCCTTCCATCCCTCTTTCCTTCCCTCCACTTCGCAATCACTGTTTGGCATTTCATACAACCTTTCCAGTTATGGATGAGGCAGAGTATGTGACACAAATGTAATTTATACTGGTCACCAATTTTGCCATATCAAAAGCAGAAACTGAAGAATAAAATAACTAATAATGACTGGCACTGTACGGCAGTCAGTTTGTGTGTTTTCCTCCAGGAATGCAAAAAAGACATGGAAAATGATATTGTGGAGATGGTGCATTTGAGAAACATGTTTCTATGTACAAATACATGCTTGAAAGTGTGAGGAAATTGCTTCCAGGGCTCCACATCACTTCTCTTTTATCCTCAGCTGAACCAGAATATATAGTACAAAGTGATCCACTTTGCCAATTTGCGCCATGTTCCTAACTTTTGTATAAGCTGCAACTTCCAGATATTTCCAGGCAAAATGTCTGAATTGTGTTGATACAGAATCTTGTCACTTTTTTTAAAAAAAGCCCATAGACATAGCCTCAAATGTACAACCATGTCTGATTATCTAGACAGTTAGAAACAGAATACATTTATTTGTATCGGAGAGAAGCACGAGAGAGAGAAAATATGTGGAAAAGATTCTTGATTTCTCTCCAAGAGAGACCATTACATTAAGATGGTAATTTTATACCTTTTGAGACATTAGTTAATGTCTCAAAAGGTATGTTAGTTAATATCTCAAAATGTCAAGAGATGCACTGTGTGTTTGAAAACTTGTATGAGCCACTGCCCTCAGTAAGTGGTATTTCTTTTGTATCTGATGAAGTGTCAGGCTTCAGCCCAAGAAATCTGTGTATTCGTTATAATAGTACAGGCTATGCCATATACTACCCTATTTGCCTATTAAACAATGGTTACTGGAATTAGGTGTGGCATACGAATTACAGTATCATTTTGCTGATTGCTGATCCTTGCAGTTTTTCCTCAGAGATGGGAAAAGTTGCTTTTTAAAGACTACAACATCTGGAATAAACCAGGCACTAAGGCCACTGGCCATGCTAAGATATTCTGATGGAGGAGCAGGGTGAAAGAGACCTTTAACTGACCATTAAGAATATATATATAGATATTGACCATTAAGAATATGGTCCATATTGACCATATATAGTCCATATTGACCATATTGACCATAAGAATGTGGTCCTATAATTGACCATTGAGAATATATATATTCTTAATGGTCGATTAAAGGTATCTATCACCCTGCTCCTCCATCAGAAGTATCTTAGTTAGTTAATTAGTTAGTTATAAAAACAAAAACAAATAGTGAGCTTTAGATGATAAATGATCATCTTCAAGACTGTGCATCAAGTTCTTGTGGGCAGTTCCAAATTTATGTGCTCTTTTTAATGTCCCAGATTCACATGGCTAATGGTGTACAAGCCAGGTAAGCTTCCTAGATATAAACAGCTGCAGCATGCATGTCGGTTTCAAGCTCTTCTTCAGCTAGCAATTTGGAATTTATGACCCATCTCTTAGGACAGTAATCTCTTGAGTAAATTTGCTAATGGCCTCCTTCCATCTCCCTTTCCTTCCCTCCACTTTGCAATCACAATTTTTGGGGATACATTCTGGGTGTCATTGGTCAAATATTGTCTAAAAAGTTTCATTCCCAACTTGGGTTCCTGTTTGTACATATTTCTGATGTAGCATGGGGCCTGATCTACGTTGCAATAGGATAGCTCTTATCCTGTGTTTGTATAGGACTTGGATGAGTTTAACTGGACAGTATCAGTTTTCTACTGTGTAGGGCAACTAGAACAAAGGTGTTAGTCTGTGGATGGCTCCCAGCAGACTCCTGATATTATAAGAAACCTAATTAGAAAAAAATTATACAGAATTCTGTATTTTGAAGTTTCCCTCCTGTGCTTTTGTTTTATTCCCTTAAAATGTCAGTTGCATAAGAGTCCAGGCTCTTTCTACCCTGAGATAAAGGAGCAGACAGAGGAACAAGGGCCAAGGCTAGGACACAGGAATGCTGAGATACTTCATGGCTAGCTCAGCTTTATCTATCTGTTTTGACAAAAGACAGCCAGACACTTTAAATACAGATGTAATGATCTGCAGCGTTAGCTCAGACTCCACAGAAGGCCAGGCATTTGACAGAATGATGAGAACAGACAGAGGAACATGATGGTAGTAAAAACAACGGGGGTGGTGTTTTCGTTTTGGTTGGGGTTTATATTTGGACCACCTTAAAGACAAATGAATTATGGGGGCACAAGTTTTCCTGGATTTATGACCTATTTCCATAGCTGGATCTGATGAGGTAGGCTACAGCCTATGAAAGCATATGCCAAATGAAACTGGCTTGTTTTCAGGGGCCATTGGACTGCAATAGATTAACGTGTACACGCACACACATGCACATGGACAGTTGTTTTTAAAGCAATGGATTCCTATTTTATACAGTGGTGCCTCACTTAACGACGATAATCTGTTCCAGGAAAATCACCGCTAAGCGAAAACATTGTAAAGCGAAATAAAAAAACCCAATTGAAACGCATTGAAACCCGTTCAATGCGTTCCAATGGAGTAAAAACTCACCGTCCAGAGAAGATCCTCCATATGGGGGCCATTTTCACTGCCTGTATAGCGAGGAATCCGTCCCTAAGCACACAGGGGAGCCATTTTTAGCACCCAGCGGCCATTTTGAAAACCCAACGATCAGCTGTTTTTGATTGTTGTAAAGCGAAAATCGGTTCCCGAAGCAGGGACCCGATCATCGCTAAGTGAAATTCCCCCATTTAGACCATCATTTTGCACTCGCAATTGCGATCACTAAAAGTTCATTGTAAAGCAGATTCGTCGTAATGTGGGGCAATAGTTAAGCGAGGCACCACTGTACTGCTGTTATTTTATGAATTGCTGTTAGCCGCCCAGAGTAGACTTTGGTCTAGATGGGCGGGAGATATATATATATATAAAAAATAAATAGGATGTCATACAAAGTCATAGACAAAACATATATTTCAGAGGTAGATGAAACTATAAAAACCACAAGACTCTGGCAAATGAAAATAACATTTAATCCAATCCCACAAAATTAAGATACTGGAATTACAACATTTGACATACTATGTATTTTTGTAGTAAGTTACCTTGTACAACATATTGTATCTCTGTTCAATCTGCTCCTGTCCTCTCTGAGAGACACCTATATTGATAGAGGGCAACCCATCTGTGAAATCACATCCTATGCAACTATTGTGGTCCCAGGAGAAAGTTGCCACAGTTTTGTTTACTTTGGTCTTTGTAAAAAAGCAAAGTGCGGGCTCACTTGTGTTGCATTTTACATTATCAACACTAAGGATGCCCTATGCACTGGCGAAAGTTCATTTGACGCATCTGCTATAAGCTGATGCCAGTGTCTAGCATCTAGATCAGTGGTGTGCAAGCTTAGTTTATTTCAGTTAAAAGGAACCAAAACTACTTTACTGTTCAAAAAATTAAATTCCAATGTTAAGATCTCCAGTTGTTGTTGTTTTGTTGTTAAATTGTGTCCAACTCTTTATGATCCCATGCACCAGAGCTTGCCAGGCCCTCCTGTCTTCCACTGCCTCCCGGAGTTGGGTCAAATTCATGTTTGTAGCTTTGATGACACTGTCCATCCATCTCGTCCTCTGTCGTCCCCTTCTCCTCTTGCCCTCACATTTTCCTAACATCGGGGTCTTTTCCAGGGAGTCTCCTCTTCTCATAAGATGGCCGAAGTATTGGAGCCTCAGCTTCAGGATTTGTCCTTCCAGTGAGCCCTCCGGGTTGATTTCCTTCAAAACAGATAGGTTTGATTTCCTTGCAGTCCAGGGGACGCTCAAGACTCTCCTCCAGCACCACAATACTTAGGCCTTCAGCCTTCTTTATGGTCCAGCTCTCACTTCCATACATCTTTACTGGAAAAACCATAGCTTTGACTATGCGGACCTTTGTTGGCAAGCTGATCTCTCTGTCTTTTTAAGATGCTGTCTAGGTTTGTCATCGTTTTCCTCCCAAGAAGCAGGCGTCTTTTAATTTCGTGGCTGCTGTCTCCATCTGCAGTGATCATGGAGCCCAAGAAAGTAAAATCTGTCACTGCCTCCATAACTTCCCCTTCCACTTGCCAGGAGGTGATGGGACCAGTGGCCATGATCTTAGTTTTTTGATGTTGAGCTTCAGATCATTTTTGCGCTCTCCTCTTTCACCCTCACTAAGAGGTTCTTTAATTCCTCCTCACTTTCTGCCATCAGAGTGGTATCATCTGCATATCTGAAGGTGTTGATATTTCTTCCGGCAATCGTAATTCCATCTTGGGATTTATCCAGTCCTGCCTTTATGGATCCTTATTACTTATCTGCTCAAATATTCTTAGTACATTGTTGCATTACAACCAATCAACTGCTTGCTGATGCTTCCTGTGAAAATGTTGGTTAAAGATAATAAAATAACATTTAAGTATTTCATACCCTGGATGCCACTTACTGTAGATGTTTTTTGCACTGATAACTCCAAAATAAAATGTGTGGAATGCAGAATTGCTTAACTGGATATTTGTTCATATAACAGAACCTTTTATTTCTCTCCTCCCTACTGTAGCCACATCTATAAATCAGTTCCATAATTTTTCTAGTCCTTCAGAGCAGATTTGAGGATGAGTGCATGGGGCCAGTCATTGTCTCTCTGCTCTACTGATGTCAACAGACAAATGTAAATTGGAATCCTCCAATCCTATTCTTCATGATACGCTTGGTCATTGGTGCATGTGGAAGCTGCCTTTCTAATAGGAACACTGTGTACCAAGTGCCATAATTTACCTCCCAAAGTTGAAAAGTCTGATTTGAGCCTGTAATGCTACAAGGACAACAAGGAGCCTTCAACACTGATGACAAGGTTATAGGTTCACATTTCCCGCTATGAGAAATGCCTTGTCATCTTAGGCAGAGTTTGCCTCCAGCTTATGAAGGCTATTGAGAAGGAGAATCTCAGCCGTTGTCCCCCCCCCTTCCCACCTACCTGTTCTGATCTTGTGCATTCTTCACCAAGAATCGATACTGGGCTGGCTAGATAGCACAGTGAGCTGCGTCGGTTTGGGGGTTTGATTCCCCACTGATTCTGGGAGAAGAGTCAGCCTGTGTAGCCTTGGGAAACTCCAGAGCACCCCCAGAAAAAGGGAATGGCAAACCGCTTTTGAGTACTTTATAACTAGAAAACCTTGAACAAGGTCACCATACCTAGCATTGATTCAAGGTCACACTACTATTATTTAAATCAATGTTAGTTGTAGTATTAGCACTGGAACTTACATACCATATCACATTAAGTGCTGCCAAGTTTTATCCGGCTTGTGCCTGCTTTAATAGGTTTTCAGGGTATACAAACTAGTTAAGGAATGGCTTTATCAGTGCCCCCTACACACTCCAGTGAATTCCATTATCCCAGTGGGGATTTTAAACCACATTTTCTGCATTTTCATCTTTCATTCTATGCACTACACCATACTGAGCCTCACTATGCCATATTGCTATACAGATAACACGATATTATATTTTGATCCCCGTGAAGGAGTCCTAATTCACGATCCATTCCAAATATCTGACAGGTAGCATTTCAGTTATGTAACTGGAGTTTTTTCTATTGGTGGAGAGGGCAGAATTGCAACTAAGATATATAAGAAAGAAAAAATGGGGGATCCTAGATAAAATCAAGCCTGAACTACTATGTCTGTAGAGGCAAAAATGTTGAATGAGGTTGTCCTACTTCGGGCACATCATTTGAAGATGGAAAAAAAAACAGGAATGCTGGGAAAGGTGGAAGGCAGCAGAAAATGAGGAAGACCTAAGAAGAGATGGGTTGACTCCCTAAAGGAAGCCACAGACTTCACTTTGCAAGAGCTGAGCAGGGTAGTTGAGGACAGGGCATTCTGGAGAGGATTCATTCATAGGGCTGCCTGAAGTCATGGATGGCTTGACAGCACATAACAACAGCATCAAAGAAATGAATGCCCAACTGTCTGCCTCTGCATGAATATGGCATTTTGTTTGTCAGGATAACAATGGTTTTCTTTTTGTTTTCTTCTCCACCAGAATGTCTCGGTATTAGAAAACCATCACTGGAGATCTACAGTCGGCATGCTTCGAGAATCCAGGCTGCTTGCACATTTGCCAAAAGAAGAAAGGTAAGCTCTGCAATTTGGGGAAAGGGCTAACACAGTGCATCTGCCAAAATGGGTTTCCCTAAACATTTTGAGGTGGACACTGTGAAAATGTGTTGGCGAGCAGGTAGTCATGGAAGTGAGAGAAAGGATCTGTATATGCTTCCTGGGTGGAAGGGAGAATTAATAACAGTTTTGAGGTCATCTAATCTGGCTGGTCCTCTATTCACTTTGTGGCCAAGCTAAATTATCCTGTCACCATTGACATTTTGCTCTCCAATTTGCAAATGGCAAAATGGAAATGCCACTGCAGGCCTTTTTGGGAGGTGGCATCAAATGCCTAGGGGATTCCCAACTTTATTGTGCAGTATGGATCAATCCAAAGAAAAGAAAATGCAAGAAAGCAAAGTGGCTGTCCAACGATGCCTTACAGAAAAGAGAAGGGAAACAAAATGCAAGGGAGATAGGGAAAGTTACAGAAAATGGAATGCCGACTTCCAAAGACTAGTAAGGAGAGACAAGAGGTCCCTCTTAAATGAAAAGTGCAAAGAAATAGAGGAAAATAATAGAAAGTGAAAAACCAGAGATCTGTTCAAGAAAATTGGAGATGTTAAAGGAACATCTTGTGCAAAGATGGACATGATAAAGGATAAAAGGATAAAAATGGTAGGGACCTCACAGGAGCAGAACACATCAAGAAGAGGTGGCAAGAATACACAGAGGAATTATACCAGAAACATTTGGTGTGTCCGGACAACCCAGATAGTGTGGTTGCTGACCCTGAGCCAGACATCCTAGAGAGTGAAGTTAAGTGGGCCTTAGAAAGCCCACTGGCATTCCAGTCGAACTATTTAAAATCTTACAAAGATGATGCTGTTAAGGGCTATACTCAATATGCCAGCAAGTTTGGAAAACTCAACAGTGGCCAGAGGATTGGAAAAGATCAGTCTACATCCCA